ATGAAGACAGCTCCTGTGATCTGCTGCCTTTCAAAGCCATCTTCTATGTGCTGAGTCAGGTTCAGCACTTCCTTTTGGCTGATGAGATAAGATTGATGTTATTGTTGTGTGCTTTCAAGTCGTTTCAGACTTAGGTTGACCCTGAGCAAGGGCCGGGTAAACAACCTTGGGGGGCCGTATCCAGCCCCCGAGCCTTAGTTTGAGGACCCCTGTTTCCACTGTTCCACGCTGATCTTTATTTCTGAATCCTTTTTTATCCAGTTTCCAGAACCTGGGAATCCAATGCGTGCGGAAACGAGACCTGGACAAAGCAGTGGCCAAGCGGATCGAAACCAACAACAATCCTTTCAATGGTATGGAAACCAGTACTGTTTGATATTTGTTCAGTCATTTCCGAGTCTTTGTGACTTCATGGACCATCCCACGCCAGAGCTCCTTGTCGGCTGTCACCACCCCCAGCTCCTTCAAGAGGGGAACAAAAATGGCAGTGCTCTGTGGGAGAAGGAAAGGCGGCTCAGCTGGCTGTTACTGGCAGAGGGGACTTGGCAGACATGCCAGGGAGGCGGTGGCACGACCTCTCGAAAATTGCAGATGGACCCCTGTAGGGATCGCGACCCCCAGGTTGAGAACCACTGTCCTAAAGTGTGATGTGGAGCCTTGGTATCTGCTGGGGTATGGTTCTAGGATGCCAAAATCCGTGGATGCTCAAGTGTCATTGTATCCAGTGGTGCCAGTTATATATTGTCTTGCATTGTGCTCCAGCCATCTGAATGAATGGCATCCAGACGTTTTCGTTAAACATCACAAGTGCTCTAACTCTTGGTTTTGTTCCCCCTCCTTTGATTTAACTGGCTTTCACTTTTGTTTCAGCATCTTCAGAGGAGCTAAAAGGAGACTATGATCTGAATGCGGTTCGGCTCTGCTTCCAGGTGTGGATCCGGGACGCGGGCAGCGGTCACTTGGTCCAACTGCCCCTGGTCATCTCGCAGCCGATCTATGACAATCGTGAGTGTCTCCGGAGCACATGGCTCTCATCCTAGGTTTTGCCTGTTTGTATTATGCTTATACGGCGCTCCATGCAGTCATGTCGGACACATGACCTTGGAGGTGTCTATGGACA